AAAAAAAAAAAAAAAAAAAAAAAGCTTGAAGGGAAGAACTGAGATTGTCAGTTGTTTATTTCAGGAAACTGTCTGTGGTTGTGCTATCCTTTCCTTTCTCTCACTGAGATTTGGTCTTCTCAATCAGCAGGGTTGCAAAATTCCCTCAACCTCCCATACATACAGCAGCTCTTCTAGACACAGGTTTTCCCAGGAGAAATGCAGGGACCCCAGCCATATCTCCCACCCTGAGAAATTCTGGAGTTTCAGGGAGCCCAGGAGCTCTTCAGAGGCCACCTTCTCTGAAGGGATTGTTCTTAGACCTCCATCTAGAGGCAAATGTTGACCCATCCATGCTGAAACCCATAGTTCTTCCTGGGTCACCTTCTCCCACCCACTCCTGGATGGCAGGAAGCAGTAGCACTAAAGCCACACCAGAAATAGATTCAGGGCTGACAGGAGTCACCTTGTCACATGAGACATCTACAGGTGTGATTGTGGTGATGGAACATACTCTGCCCTTTACTTCCCCAGCTAAGACCTTGGCCAGTCCTGCATCTTCGGTTGTGGGAAGAACCACCCAGTCTTTGGGCGTGATGTCCTCTGCTCTCTCTGAGTCAACCTCTAGAGGAATTACACACTCCGAGCAAAGAACCAGCCCATCACCGAGTTCCCAGGTCAATGGAACTTCCTCTAGGAACTCCCTTGCTACAAGCATGGTCTCAGGATTGAGTTCCCCAAGCACCAGGACCAGTTCCACAGAAGGGAATTTTACCAAAGAAGCATCGACACATACACTCACTGTAGAGACCACAAGAGGTCCAGTCACTGAAAGGTACACAGCCCCCACTGAGACCTCAACGACCAAAGGTGACAGTACAGGGACCCCCTGGAACATAAGATATATTCCTGCAAAAATCACATCTCTAATGAAGACATTTGTAGATTTGACTGCATCCAAGGAAAGTGTCCCACTGTCTATGACTCCAGCTGAGACCACAGTTATGGACCCACATACTCCAGGAAGGACACACCCATCATTTGGGACAGTTTCTTCTTCCTTTCTTGACTTATCATCATCTAGAGGGACCCCAAATTCCAGAGCCAGAACAAGCCTGGAACTGACTCCCTCAACCACTGGATATCCCTTCTCCTCTCCTGAATCTGGCTCCCCAGCACACAACAGAATAAGTACCAGTGTGCCTTTGCTGTCATCTGCTTCAGTTTTCAATAATAAAATATCAGAGACCAGCATATTCTTCGGCCAGAGTATCACCTCCCCTATGTCTCCTGGGATGCCTGAGGCCAGAACCAGTGCAATGCCCAACTCAGCGATCCCTTTTTCCATGACACTAAGCAATGCAGAAACAAGCACTGAAAGGGTCCGAAGTACAATTTCTTCTCTAGGGACTCCATCTACATCCACAGAGCAGACAGCAGAGAGTGTCCTTACCTCCCGTGCCTTCACTGAGACCACAGATCTACCCAGCACCCACACAACCAAGACTTTGGCTTTAGAATGGTCAGAGAGTCCAGGTGCCCTCAGTGGCACCAGCAATTCAGTGCTGACAACCACATCTCCATCTACCACTTTAGTCTCAGAGAAGACCGATACCCATTACTCCATACATGGAAAGGAAACAGAAGGAAATTTGAAAGCATCTATGACTCCACTTGAGACCTCTGCTCCTGGAGAGGAGACTGAAATGACTGCCAACTTGGGCCCCACTCCAAGTTTTACCACCCTTGACAGGAAGATCAGAAGTCCATCTCAGGTCTCTTTATCCCACCCAACAAGAGAGCTCAGCCCCACAGGCAGCGCCTCTGGGAGGCAGAGTTCCAGTACAGCTGCTCACGGGAGCTCTGACACCCTGGGGGCAACCACTTCTAGCATCTCACCAGCATCCTCATGGACCAGTGAAAGCACAGCTCAGCACTTTAGTGAACCCCAGCACACACAGTGGGTGGAGACAAGTCCTAGCATGGAAATGGAGAGACTCCCAGCATCAACCAGTGTGTTTACTTCTCCAGCAACTGGTTCCGTGGAAGCAGCTTCTGTCAGGAAACTATCAACAGCCATGCTCACAACAGAGACCACAAATGGCCCAGGCACTGTTTATGCTATGGCTTCTACTAACATCCCAATTGTAAGGGGCTACGTTACGGGAAGAAGATTGGCCACAACCCACCTGCCCACTGGAACCACAGCTTCCTCTGAGACATCTACAGATTTTGCCATGGCCAAAGAAAGTGTCTCAATGTCAGTATATCCATCTCAGTCTATGGATGCTGCTGGCTCAAACACTCCAGGAAGGACAAGCCAATTGGTTGGCACATTTTCTGATGACTTCTATCATTTAACATCTGGAGAAATTACAATATCTAAAGATGGAACCAGCTCAGCTTCAACTCCACAAATGACTGCAACCCACCCTCCATCTCCTGAGCATGGCTCTGCTAGAAGCACCTGGCTTGGCATCTTGTCCTCATCTCCTTTGGCTCCTACTCTCAAAGTCACATCTCCTCCTGCTCCTACTTCCAAAGTCACAATGAGCTCCACCTTTTCAACCCAGAGAGTCACCACAAGCATGACAAAGGACACAGTTGAAATGAGTCAATGGAATACACCTGACTTACTTTCCATGACTTCCTTGACACCAAGTAATATTCCAACAAGTGCTGCCATGGGGAAAAGCACCCTGGTTCCCTTGGACTCTCCTTCTCTAGCCACATCAACAGAGGCATCGGAAGGGGGATTCCCAACCCTCAGCACCTACCCTGAAGCAACAAACACACCCAGCATCCACCTCGGAGTACACACTAGTTCAGAAAGTCCTAGCACCATCAACCTCCCCATGGCTTCAGTAGTAAAAACTGGCTCTTATACACCTCTCACCTTCCCCTCAATAGAGACCAATATTCATGTATCAACAGCCGGAATGGAGACAAATGAAATTGCTTACTCCTCTGGGTCCTCACCTGAGATGAGCCCTCCTGGAAAGACTAATACTAGTAGTACCTGGGCCCCCACCAACTACATCACCACTACGGATCCTAGGGATATAAGTTCAGCTCAGGTCTCTATACCCCACTCAGTGAGGATGCTCAGAACCACAGACAATCATCCAAAGACAGAGTCCACCAGCCCAGCTGCTTACTCTGGAAGTCCTAAAATCTCAAGTCCACCCAATCTCACCAACCCAGCCACAAAAGCATGGACCGACAATGACACAATTGAATACTACACTCAATTACATCACACAAATTTGGCAGAAAAATCACCTGGATTTGAGACACAGTCAACCCCAGGACCCGTCTCTGTAGTAATCTCTACATCCCCTACTACTGGAAGCAGAACGTTGGAACTGACTTCTGGTGTCCCAGAGGAACCCATGGTCCTCACCACCAGTGAGCAGACCACAATCACTCTCCCCATGGCAACAAGGTGGAGTACCAGTTTGACAGAAGAAATGGCTTCAACAGACCTTGACATTTCAAGTCCAGGTTCACCCATGAGAACATTTGCTATTTTTCCACCTCTGTCCACACCTTCTCATGAACTTTCAAAGTCAGATACCAGTGCCACTGAAAATATAGGTTCAACCATGTTGGATCAGCATCTAGGATTCAGCAGTTTGGGCATAACTGGGGACTTAACTCCTGTTTCAGTCACAGTCTCCCAGGAACCCAGCATGGGCCCAGAACCAAGTCCATCCATCTCATTAATGTATTCATCCACAGACACTGCAACCACAGGTGTCACATCCTCAGGGGCTAGATACAGCACTGATGTACCTGAATCTAGGATTCCAGGCTTCCCCAGCACAGAAGCCAAGAAGAGTTCACCACCTCTTCCAACCTCTACTCTTCCATCTGCAGAACCCACATCCTCAGCAGTACTGATCACTTTGCTACAAAGTCCCCATTCAACCAGGAGGAGACTCATATCAGAGGCAACAACACCAGTCAACTCTGTATCTCAAGATGTTACAAGCTCTTCTCCAGGGCAGTCAACAGAGGTGCAAAGTCTTCCTGCCATTTTCAGCTCTACGGAAACTGACAGAGGGGTCACACAGACATCTGGCTATGGAAAACCCAGAGTAGATTTGGGAACAAATTTTGCTGAATGGAATTCATCTATGCCTTTGACCTCAAGCACTGCTGGGGCCTCAGTTTCCTCTGAGGCAACCACTTCCAGAAGGCAAAGTGACCCCTGGTCAGAGTCATCAGTGACCATGAGAAGGGTTGGGTCAGGATTTCCTTCTTCAGCCTCCTCTGTTTCCCCTGATAGGACCACTTCATTGGTTGTTCCCCCGACAGTGGGTGAAACTGCAGGTTCTACTTTATTCTTCCCTAAAATTAAGGAAATGTCAACTGAGAAAGTGTCAGTTTCCTCTTTGTCCCTTGGACTACTAGGCACAACATTTCCCATGGCTCTCTCTGGGATCACATCTTCCATGGGCACTGAAGAGGATGCAGGAACAAGCTCAACCACCTCATGGTCCAGCTCCTCTTCTAAAGGTGAAATAAGTTCCTCCATTCATATGTCCTCTATCATTCACAACAGTCCTGCTTCTTTTGATCTGTCCACCAGAGAAGGTCCCAGGGCAACTTCCCTGGATTCCACAATCCCAACCTGGATCTCTTCATCAGCATTTACCAGCCTTCTGGCACAGACAAGCCACACTGCTGATGCCATTTCCTCCTCAGGAAGCCCAGAGTTGGAGCACACTAGCCCAGGAATGGAGACTGGCTCAGCCAAAACTTCATCAGGAGCATCCACCTCCTTTGAGGCTGGCAGTGGCACCCCCTGGACACCCGCTTTTCCACTGGCAGAGGCTACAACCAATAAAAGTCAGACTACTGGGTCAGGAAGCACCTATGCTCCTCATCTTGACAGCTCACTTTCATTCACAAGTAAGGACCTGATGATTCTACCTTCTTGGAAATGGGTTTCTGATCTTTGGTTGGGTAGTCATTGGTGATGGTGAGGAATCTTTTGCTTTGTTTCACAAAGTCTCTTACTTGCACTGCTTCAGAATTCTTGATCATGGGAGATGTCTATCTGGCCAGGGTGGCCACTGCTATTCCCTGTGTGTGGTTTCTTAGTTTACTGTAGAAGTCACCTACATTTGTCCATAGTTATGGGAGCACAGATCCACATCCTGGTTTGTAGCCATTCTTAAGGAATACCACTTAAAAAAAAAAAAACCACTTTTTAAATTGTGGTAAAATATATCTCTCATAAAACTTACCACCACTTTAACTATTTTAAGGGTACAATTCAGTGACATTAGTTGCATTCACACTGTTGTGTAATCATTACCATCATCAATCTCAAGACATTTTTCATCACTCCTAACTAAAATTCTATTCTCGTTAAACAATGACTCCCCATTTTTCCCTCCCCCAAACACCTGGTAACCACTATGCCACTTTGTCTCTATGAATTTGACTATTCCGGGTGTCTCATATAAGTGGAATCAAATAATATTTGCCCTTTTGTGTTTGACTTATTTTACTTGGCATAATGTCTTCAAGATTCATCATGTATCAGAATTTCTTTCCTTTTTAAAGCTGAATAATAAATATGCCATTGTATAGATATATCACATTTTGTCCATATATTCATACATAAATGGACATTTTGGTTATTGTGAGTAATGGTGCTATAAACATTTGTATAAAAACCAATGTTTTATTCAAGTCCTTGCTCTTGATTCTTCTGGATATACAAGGAGAAGTGAAATTTAACAGATTATATGGTATAATATCATTTTTATATTTAGGATTTGCAACTTCTTCGTAGGGTGACCTGTTTTTATCATCCTTTTGCCATTTTCCCTAATTGATAGTTGGAACTAACCCACCATGAATATGAAACCAGGAGCTCCCCTAAATATCCTTGGTTGAAGATGTTGCTTGGTAAGAATGGTGAGAAGAGAAGTATGTGATCTCTGTGACTACCTCTTTTCTCTGAAATGACTGATCACATCACCTTCTTCATCTTTTCCAACAGGGACTGTTGGGAGTGTGGAGCCTTCCAGCAGGACCCCAGGCTCAACAGCTAAGAGTCTCATTCCGTGGTCAACAAGTGATTCTCTAGAACCCAGGTCACCTGCCACTACAACAGGTATGAGGATGTCTCATCCTTACTTCCTCTTTGTAATTCCAATTGAACCTGCCCTGGTGACATTTTTTTCACTTGTTTATCATGAGCAGAATGATTAGTTGCCTTAAGTGAGCTTGTCTCCTGGTAGATGGAAAAGTAGCTGCCATCTTGATTTCTCTCCTTGGTCTCACAAGTTATATATGAGGAGAATATGCTGTGTGATCATCTCATCCAAATTAGATCTCTGATGAGGGTGGAGAAACCCTGAAGTTCTCTTCATTCATTTATTAGTCCATCCAATAAGTCACACAGTCAGACATATTGGTTTGGTACTCAACTGATCTTTAGTAAAAGGATAAAAACCAAGAAAAGCCCCTTTGCACTCTTAGGGGCTCCTCGTTGTATCAGACTGTGCCTGGATGAGGACTTTTGCAGTTTGCAATTTGAAAATCTCTCTTCATGAGTAATTCTGTGCTTGAGAGTTACTCTGAAAGGCAGCCAGCAAGCATTGCTACTCATGGATAGGATGGAAGTTCCCTGATCATCATTTATATCCTCAAAATTGACAGCCTGGTATAGGCAGACAGCGTTCTGGGGATGATGCATCATCTCTAGATTTCGTTCAGTAGGGGAAGCTTTGAAGTCCCAATCTACATCCCATGAGAAATTTGGAATAGTCAGGAGGTCTCCCCTGCATCCTGTTCCTCTTTCAACAACTACCCATTATAGTCACAGGATTGCCCAGCAGAAGCCCAGTGACATTGACTATCCTGCAAATATCTTCCATATTTGGAAGCTACAAGGGTGCTTTTCACGTTAGGGATCAATATGAGGAGGGGATTTCTCTCAGATAGGCAGCTACAGTGACTGCCATCAGGAAGGCTACAACTGCCACATTTATCTTCTCAATGACCACTTTTGTCAACTCCACTTCTGCAGCTGGTGCCAATGTTAACGGCATCTTGGGTACCACTCACTCAGCTAAAGGAACATGGATCCCAGGAGAGGTCTATAGATATAACAGTGGACACAGAAATGGTCCCATTTTTTACCTTTCCAGGTAAGAATAAGGCCAGCCTTGAGGGAAGCATTCTAGAAAGAACTGACCAATCACATTCGACAGTTTTCTCCATCTTTCCTGAGTCAACTCCTAAAGTAACCATAGATTTTGGGGCAGGACTCAACACAGCCACTGTGATTCCACAAGGGACTTCAGCTCTGCCTTTATCCCCAGAGACAAGTTCTAAGGTTGACACTGGGATCCCTGTGGTCTCATCTCCTTCTATTCTTATCACAGGAGCTAACACATCATCTACCAGGAGAGCCACCACAAGCATGGCCTTGGGCACACATGAAGTCACAGCAAGGGCAGAGTACAGCTCAGCTGTTCTTTCTACCATTTCTTTGAGCAATAGTGCTACCAGCTCAGAAGCAGAGGACAATATATCTGCCACTCTAAATCCCCCATCTCCAAATCCATCGGCAGAAGGGACATCAAGGGGTGGTTTCTTCCTCGGCACCTCCCCTTGATGTCCCTCCCTTCTGCTGACGGATTTGGAGAGGGAGATTTGGGACCTCAGATAGACCCAACATGAGCATTCAAACACATGCCAACCTATCCAATCCTCTGGCCTCTGATCTATCAATGAGCCCTGAAGCCACCAGTTTCACCAGGACTACTTCTTCTGTCCTCTCTCCCTCTCTGGTGCCTGTCACTCCTGTGTCCATAAGCAAAACAGGTGAGACCAACTTTGAATCTGGAACCTCAGTGAGTATGTCAATACCATCAAGAGAGACAACCTGGGGTGGCTCTTTGGACTTTAGGACAAGGAGCCTGAGTTCAGTCTTGCCATCCATCCCAGTGGAATTGCTCAGAGTCAGACAGCTCCCAAAGAATAGGACCCAGTGAATGTGTCCCTGGAGTCTCTGATGTTCTGAGAATATCTACTCCTATCTCTGCTGTAATGACATCATTGGCCAGCACTGAGATCCAGAACACAGATTCAGAAAAGACAGGTCCTGGAGGGAAGACACAGTCTCCCCCAAAATCATCCATGGTTCCAACCTCTTATTCCTTTCCTCATGCTACTCTGGTGGTCCCTGGGGTCACCATTCCAATGACCAGCATTCTAGAAGGAACTTCTTCCAAGGAGACATCCCCGGGGGCCACAACTGGTCTAGACATCTTTCAATCTACCTCCCTCATGAAGACCACAATGAGAGGAGACAGCAGCAGTGGACCCAACCCAACTTCCTGCAGTGACCAAGGCTCTAGCTAAGACATCCATAAATACAATTATGGATATGGAAACTCTCCTACTTTCTACCTCCACTACTGCCCTGGGATCAAGTGTTCCAAGATGGACAAGACAATCAGTTGCAAGTTTCCTCTGCCTTCCCTGAACCAACTTCTAGAGGAGTTACAGAATCCAAGGACAGAGGCAGCCCCACATCTACCACACAGGAGAGTGATGCCTAACCCTCTTTTAATCCTGGCTCTGTTGGATGAACCCAGGGAATTACTGGAATCCCTCTGTCCTCATCTTCTTCAGCTCTTAATAGTGCAGCCACTGAGACCATCAGAGTCTGGACCCAGAGGGTTTCCCCAGGTATGGCCTCAGACACATCTGAGGCCACAACACAGACTGAGTTGTCCTCCTCTGTCCTTTCTTCTTCTATTCTGAGTACTAGCCTCTAAATGCTAAAACGGAGAAAGGTGAAGCTACCTCCAGGGACCTTCCATATTCATTTCCCTTAACAGAGGTTGCACCAGGGAATGTCCTCACTCTCAGCACCTCCACTGAGACCACAGATGTATCCAGTATCAGTCCCAGGATACTCACTAGTTCCTCTATGCACATGGCTTCTAATTTGTCAGAGGGTGCAGACATCATCGAAGTTACAAGCGTTTCAGAGGGGGCAACCATCTCATCTCATCTCAACCCCATCTCATCTATCCACTTGCCTTCTGTGGGGTCCACCATGAGTTCAAAAAACAGATCCAAGGAGACTGCAATCTCTCTGTCCAAGGCCTCAGTGGAGATCCCTAAAGCTGGAGGCAAAACTATCTGGGGTAGCATCTCAGCCCCAAATTTTGGCAATCCCACACCTGACACCTTGGCAACTAGCTCAACTCTGGTTTCAACACGCATCTCAGTAGGAACGGTCATTAACACAGACATCTCTGCAGCAGCAGACACCAGATCCACTGCCCCTCAGAGTTCAGTCTTCCCTGGAACCCCTGTTCCAACCATATCAACAGGAGCCACTGGGTCCAGCCATTTGGATCCAGTTGAACAGTCAACTCATCTGTGGAATACTAGTTCTGCAGGTATAAATCCTAGAGCAGAGACAAAAATCATCTACCTCCTTGGCCGCCTCTGCTCCTGATACTGAGATGAATTTAAGAGGCAGATCAACAGTGGGAAGCATCTCTGAGGGAATTGCTCTCTGGAAAACTTCTACACATGACCCAACCACCATTCAGCACATTCTTCCCACGGAAACCACAACAGCAGGGGGTAGCAAAAGTAGAAGCAGCTTGACCCCAGGAAGCACATCACCAGTTAAGGCATCTACAAGAGTGGTATTGGCTACATTAAATGCTGTGGTCTCCACTATCCCAAGTGAGAGCACAGCAGTCCCTAGCTCTGTTTGTGCATTGATGTCAAGTCAATCATTTGAGACCACTCCTTCTGACCTCCCACACTCAACCTCAGGAGGAATCACACATTCCACAGAGATAACTGGCTCTATACTAACTCCACAGACAACAGCGACTCCCACCTCACCTGAACCCAGCTCTGTTGCAGAGAGCTGTACTCTTTCACCAGACCATGGTGAAGTCACAGGGACCAGCACGTATAAAAGTCAGATGTCTACATCAAGAATGGCTTCACACACATCAAAACCCACAGCAAGTATGAAAGCCAGCTCACATATACTTCACTTCACATCTCTGAAAAAGGGACCAGTCAGCACTGCAGAAGAGGAAGGTAGAGCCATTCCTGTTTCTTCAGTCTACAAAACCAGTCATTAAAGAGCAAACACAAACTTTCCTTACACTCAGAAACCCCTGAAATGAAAAACAGTGAAATGTCCTCTTTACCACATTCATCTCCTGAGACCTCAGGTCCGGAAGGAGGCACCATCATTGATTCTATTCCTGGAAAGAGGTCAACAGGCTCCAATCTGTTTTCTTCATTCATTCCAGTGGGAGAAGTTTCTTCCATGGGCAGCACTGCATTATTAGATACCAGCCCAGTCCCCTACATGACAACTGCTCCTATCACCCCACTGACAACCATGTGGACCAGTGTGATTGAACACTCCACACAAGCACAGGACACCCATTCTGCAATGATGAATCCTACTCATGTGACACAATCACTCAAAGATCAAACATCTGTACCAGCCTCAGCATCCCCTCCCCATCTTACTGAAGTAGACCCTGGGCTCAGGACACAAGGGAGGAGCTGCCTCAAGGCAACCACTTTTTGGAAACCATCTACAGACACACCCTCCATAGAGATTGAGACTGGCGCAACAAACATTCAATCCACTCCACCCATGGACACCACAACAGCAGGGAGCAGCAGTAGTGGAGTCGCCCTGGACACAGCCTGCATTCCCATAGGAACATCCTCCCCAGCTGAGACATCCACAAACATGGCACTGGAAAGAGGAAGTGCTACAGCCACTGTCTCCATGGCTGCGACAGTGGGACTCCTAGTTTCTAGTGCCCCAGGAAGAAGCAGCAGCCAGTCATTAGGAAGTTTCCTCTGTGCTTTCTGAATCAACCACTGAAGGAGTCACAGATTCTAGTAAGGGAAGCAGACCAAGGCTGAGCACCCAGGGAAATACAGCTCCCTCCTCCTCTCTTGAACTCAGCACTGCTCAAGGAGGCCAGATGAGTACAAGCATCCATCTACCCTCATCTCCTCCAACTCCTGATGTAGAATTCATAGGGAGCAGCACATTTTGGACCAAGGAGGTCACCACAGTTATGACCTCAGATATCTCCAAGCCTTCAGCAAGGACACAGTCCAGCTCAGCTACCCTTCTGTCCACAGCTTTGAGAAGCACTGAAAGTACAGAAAAACAAAAACCCAGAACTGCCTCTATGGATCTTCCATCTCCAACTCTATCAATGGAGGTGACACCATGGAGTTCTCTCACTCTCAGAGACATCACCAAGACCACAGATTCACCTGACCTCAGCCATGGGGTGCACACCAGCTCTACAGGAACTTTGGACACTGACAGGCCATTGAATACTGGTATCACTAGAGCCTCCAGATTGGAAAACAGCTCCAATACCTCTTCTAAGTCCCTATCTGTGGGAGCCAGCACTCACACATTCATGACTTACACAGAGAGGAGTGAAGTGTCCTCTTCAATATGTCCCCCACCTGAGACCTCAGCTCCTGATGGAGAGACCACTTTGACTTCAACTCCTGGAAACAGGGCCATAAGCTTAATGTTGCCTTTTTCATCCATTCCAGTAGAGGAAGTCATTTCTACAGGCATAACCTCAGGACCAGGCATCAGCCCAGCACCCATGACACATACTCCCATTACCCCAGCAACAATTGAATGGACCAGTATAGGCACAACTGAACAGTCCACTCAACCACTACATGCAGTTTCTTCAGAAAAAGTTTCTGGGCAGACACAGTCAAGTCCATATGTCAACTCTGTGTCACTGTCTGCTTCCCCTACCCATGAGAATTCAGTCTCCTCTGGAAGCAGCACATCCTCTCCATATTCTCCAGCCTCACTTGAATCATTAGATTCCACAATCAGTAAGAAGACAGAAATCACTTCCTGGCTATGGAAACTCACTGTATCTCTCCCTATTACAACTTGGCCAAGTGCCAGTTTATCTAAGGCACTGTCCTCAGCTCATCCTGGGGTTTCAAACCCAGGTTTAACCACAACTGAATTTCCACTCTTCAGCTGCATCCACATCAGTTGCTAAGCAAAGAAATCCAGAAACAGAGATTTACGGCCCCCAGAATACAGCCCCAAGTACTTTGAACACTGATGCATCCTTGGGCACAAGTATTTCTGAGACTTCTGCAGGGGCAAGTATCAGCTCTGAAGCCCCCCTTTCAGCAGCCATAACTTCTAGATCAGATGCTTCTGGTTTTATATCTGAGAGTACTCCTAACCCGAGTTCAGGCACAGCCTCTTAAGCAGGGAGCAAATTAAGTGGGACGATATCCCTGCCCATCTCAGAGTCTTTGGTTTCCTTTAGAATGAGCAAGGATCCAGGGACAGTGTCAATCCCTTTGTGGTCCCATGCAACTACTAATACAGAAACAAGCATCCCAGTAAGCAGCGCAGGTCCACCTGGCTTGTCCACAGTAGCATCAGATGCAATTATCAACCTTCAAATGGGGGTGAGAGTATTCCTAGTGCCCCCTTTTCCTCCTCCCCTGAGACTGAAGCCACAACTATCTCTCATTTCCCAGAAAGGACAACCCATTTATTTAAAACCATTTTATTTCTCACTCCTGAGTTGACTTCAAAAGTGACACCTACTCCTGGGGATTGGACCAGTTCAGCTATATCCACAAAACCCACAGGAGCCAGTTCCTCCATTACACTGGGAGAGAGAAGGACAATCACCTCTGCTCCTCTAATCACTTCCCCCATAGTTCTCACTGCTAGTTTCACAGAGACCAGCACAGTTTCACTGGATAGTACAACTACAGTAAAAACCTCAGATACACTTGAGGCATGGACAAAAAAATCAGCTTCCTTCAGATAGCATTTCTTCTTCTGATCTGATCAATACCCCACAGCTTCTCCAACTATGGATGTCACTAAAACAGCCTCCGTCAGTCCCACTAGCCTCTCAGGAGTGACAGCAACTTCTTCCCCATCTCTCTTCTCTTCAGATAGACCCCAGGTTCCCATATCTACAATAGAGACAAATACAGCCACCTCTACATCTATTTCCAGTAACACCTATTCTCTTGATGGGCACTTCAATGTGGGTGGCTGTCCATCCACTTTACCACCCTTTACACTCACCTACCCTGTCAAGACAGGCTTGGCCCCATTAGCCTGATCTAGTCCAGTAGAAACTTTCAGCACCGTGGTCAGCACCAACACTGCTGCCTGAGAAAATCCTACCTCTCGCAACTCTGTGGTCACTTCTGTTCCAGCGCCAGGTACATGGACCAGTGCAGGCAGTACTACTGACTTACCTGCCATGGGCTTTCTCAAGACAAGTCCTGCAGGAGAGACACACTCACTTCCAGCATCAAATATTGGACCAGTCACTGCCTTCACTCCCCATCTTTCAGGAGCAGTGGTCACTGGATCCAGTGCTACATCAGAAGCCAGTCTTCTCACTATAAGTGAAAGCAAAGCCATTCATTCTTCACCACAGACCCCAACTACATCCATGTCTGGAGCAAGCTGGGAAACTTCACTACTCCTGAGAGCCTTTTGGTGATCACTGAGACTTTAGACACAACACTCACCTCAAAGATTTTGGTCACAGATACTATCTTGTTTTCACCTGTGTCCACACTGCTCTCTAAACTTCCAACTATAGGGACTCTCTCTGGAGCTTCCTTCCTTACTTTATTACAGGACACTTCAGCCATCCCACTCACTGCCACTGAGCCAACAAGTTCATTAGCTACATCCTTTGATTCCACCCCACTGGTAACTATAGCTTCTGATAGACTTAGCACAAACCCAGAGACTACCCTGACCATGTCAGAGGCCTCAAATGGTGATGCACTGGTTCTTAAGACAGAAAGTAACCCAGATAGGAGCATCCCTGGAATCACTATCCAAGGAGTAGCAGAAAGTCCACCCCATCCTCCCACTTCCTCCTCTAAGATTGTTACTCCACAGAACACGGCCTATGAAGGTTCGATCACCATAGGACTTTCTATTTTGCCTGCAGGAATGACAGGTTCCCTTGTATTTAGTCAGAGTTCTGATAACTCAGAGACAACAGCTTTGGTGGACTCATCAGCTGGGCTTGAGAGGGCATCTGTGATGCCACTAACCACAGGAAGCAAGGGTTTGGACAGCTCTAGAGGAATCAGAAGTGGGTCCACTCACTCAACTGAAACCAAAACATTTTATTCTCTCCCTCTGACCATGAGCCCAGGTGAGGTTACAGCCATGTCTGAAATCACCAGGAACAGACTGACAGCTACTAAATCAACAGCACACAATGGGATACCTGTGAAGCCCACCAGGGCTGAGTCAGGGCTCCTAACACCTGTCTCTGCCTCCTCAAGCCCATCAAAGGCCTTTTCATCACTGACTACAGCTCCCCCAACTTTGGTGATCCCACAGTCCATATTGACATTTGACTTTTCTGAGGTCCCAAGTTTGAATACTAAGTCTGCTTCTTTACCAACTCCTGGACAGTCCCTGAATACCATTCCAGACTCAGATCTTTCCCACTGTCCAGGTCTCCAGAAAAAGGCCCAAGAGCAGGGATGATGACTTCCACAAAGACCATAAGTGCAAGCTCAGTTCAATCAACAAGTTTTACTGAAATCCCTGAAGGATCTTCCTCCCCTTCTATGGCAGGGCATAAACCCAGAGTCCCCACCTCAGGAACAGGGGACTATAGATATGCCTTGGAGAGCATGCCTTACCCAGTCCCAAGCAAGGTTTCATCAGATATGAAATTGACCTCTCTTGCATCAAAACTCACAAGTCTCTTCAGCACAGGTCAAGCAGCAAGGTTTGGTTCTAGTTCCTCTCCCACAAGCCTATCCACTGAGAAAGAAACCAGCTTCCTTTCCCCCACCGCATCCACCTCCAGAAGACTTCACTCTTTCTTGGGCCCTCCGTGGCAAGACAGCCCAACATATTGGTACATCTTCAGACTTCAACTCTGACACTTTCTCCAACATCTATACTAAGTATGTCCCAGAAGGAGCCTCCTGAGTTAACCTCAAGGCAAACCACTACAGAACAGGAGAGAACACCCGTTGAAACACAGACGTTAAACTTCATACCATCCGAGCCCCCAACATCCCTGCTACCTGCCTCTTCTCCCGCAGACCCCACAGCCAGAAGAAAGGGTTCTCCAGAAACAGGGGCACGCTCTATTTCAGCACCTGCCAAGACCTCCTTGGCTGAAAGTAAGAATGCCCCGCTCCTTCCCCAAGTGTGCTGGGGATGAATCTGGAAATAAATTACATCTTTTAAAACATTTTTTAAATTTTGTATTTAAAATATAAATATTTTAGGTTCAGGGAACATGTGCAGGTTTGTTATATAGGTAAATCGCGTGTCATGGGGGCTTAGGATACAGATTACGTCATCACCCAGGTAATAAGCATAGTACCTGATCAGTAGGTTTTTTTTTTTTTTAAATCCTCTCCCTCCTCTCAGTCTCCACCCTCAATGTGTACTCCACTCTCCATGTGTACTCAAAGTTTAATTCCCACTTATAAGTGAGAACATGTGGTATTTGTAAATTATATCTTTATTTTTCCCAACCTTGAGCTGAAATTTAGCATTTGTTTTATTGATGAGTAGAGGTGCCAAAACAAACCACATTAATCCTAGCAGTGCCTGTGCCTTTGCTAACAATAAAAATTCCAGACACTTTTACATCCTATTACAGTTGTTGCAAACACTTTTTTTTTTTTTTTGAGATGGAGTCTCACTCTGTCACCCAAGCTGGAGTACAAGGGTGCAATCTCAGCTCACTGCAACCTCTGCCTCCCAGGTTCAAGCAATTCTCCTGTCTCAGCCTCCTGAGTAGCTGGGACTACAGGTTCATGCTACCATGCCCAGCTAACTTTTGTACTTTTAGTAGAGATGGAGTTTCATCATATTGATCTGGCTGGTCTCGAACTTCTGACCTCAGGTGATCCACCCACCTCAGCTTCCCAAAGTGCTGGGATTACAGGCATGAGCCACCGCTCCTGGCCTTGCAGACGCTTTTAAATATCATGTATGACTTTATTCATAATTATGGTTGTTATTAGGCTTTTCAGTAGACCTTATTTAATGAGTTAGTAAAAGAAGTGGCTCTATTATTATATTACATTTGTTTATTAAGATCTTGATAACAACATTTCAATATAATAACTTTCTTTGTTTTTTAAGTTTTAGATTCAGGGGTATATGTGCAGGTTTGTTACATGGATATATTGCATAATGGTGAGCTTTGGCTTCCAGTGAACCCATCATCCGAATAGTGAACATTGCATTCAATAAGTAGTTTTTCAACTGTCGCTTCACTAACCAGGCTGGAGAACAGTGGTGTGTACTCACTCATTACTCACTGTACTCACTGCAACTCCCCTCCCTTTTTTTTTTTCTTTGCAATGATTATTTTTATTTCTTGCTTTGAAGGAAAGATGAAAGTCTATTTAGTTAGGTGTTCTTGTTTTATTCTACAGCTGCATCAAAGTAACTATCTCCAAATTTACAAAACAGTTCATAGAGCCCCCCGGTAATTGAAGTATAAGCTAAATGATCATATCAACAGCATATGAACATTAACTCTGCCAAACAAAACTCAAATCATTAGGTCTTCAAATGACCCATTATTTTCCTAGAAATATTCAATAACCAAATAGCTGACTGAAACTCAGACATGACATTGAGTTTTAGATACTTCCCCATATAGCATATATGTGTATTAACATATTTTGGGCCAAAATTATCTGAAGCATATTATAGTGATCTTTCTTTAGTCAAATCTAAATTCTTTAGGACTATCTCTTTTTACTTACACCTCCCCCTCCCTCTTTTGGAGTGACAGTGTCTATTATTTCTATCTTTATGTCCACATGTACCTATTGTTTAGTTCCCACTTATAAATGAGAATATGCAGTATTTGATTTTCTGTTTTTGAGTTATTTTGCTTAGGATGATGGCCCTCAGCTCCACCCATGTTGCTTTATGGAACATGATTTCATTCTTTTCTCCTTTCCTTTACTTTTTCCTTTCCTTTCCTTTCTCTTTCTTTCTCTTTCTCCTTCTCTTTCTCCTTCTCTTCTCTTGTCTTCTCTTCTCTTGTCTTCTCTTCTCTTCTTTTCTCTTCTCTTCTCTTCTCTTCTCTTCTCTTCTCTTCTCTTCTTCTCTTCTTCTCTTTTTCTCTTTTTCTTTTCTTTCTGACGGGGTCTTACTCTGTCGCCCAGGCTGGAGTACAGTGGTGCGATCTTGGCTCACCGCAACCTCCTGGGTTCAAACAATTCTCCTGCCTCAGCCTCCCAAGTATCTGGGACTACTGGTGTACACCACCACGCCCAGCTAATTTTTGTATTTTTAGTAGAGATGGGGTTTTGCCATATTGGCCAGGATATTCTTGATCTCTTGACCTTGATAGTCTTGATTGCCCACCTTGGCCTCCCAAAGTGCTGGGATTACAGGCGTGAGCCTCCACCCCTGGCCCCGATTTCATTCTTTGTTATGGCTGCATAGTACTCCAAGGTGTATGTGTACCGGATTTTCTTTATCCACAATGATTTCCTTTGTAATCTAATATTTTGTTCTGTTATTTAATGTTTTATTCTATATTTTTATTTTACTTTATAAGGGAATTCATATGGTTCACAAGCCTGTCAAAGGGGCCTATGATAAAAAGACGTTAAGAATCCATGCTCTAAACAGAATGTTACTCCATTTTATTTCATTTATTTTTAAAGAGACAGGCTCACTCTGTCATCCAGGCTGGAGTGCAGTGGAGCAATCATAGCTCACTGCAACCCTGAACTCTTGGGCACAAGCAATTCTCCTGCCTCATCTTCCTGAGGAGCTGAGATTACAGGTGCACGCCACCATGCCCAGCTAACTAAAAAAATTATTTTGTAGAGAGGGGATCTAGCTATCCTGCTCAGGCTGATCTCAAACTCCTGGGCTCAAGCAATCCTCCTACTTTGGCCTCCCAAAGTGTTGAGATTACAGAGGTGAGTGGGTGTGCCTGGCTACTTGTCACATTTTAATTTGTGATTACTTATAAAATGAACCCCTTCCCATCTGAGATCTGTCAATCTTTCTCGTGACAGTGCCTGTTGTCTGTTTTCTACCATGTCCTGTTAGAAGGTTTGATGGGAGGTCACCTGGGCAGCTGTACAGCTCACTCACTGGGCTCTAGAGCCTCTGAGTTGAAGCAAAATAGAAAGATCAGTCAATGTAAAGAAAGTGCATAAGGCTAAATGCACTAGCTCACGCCTGTAATCCCAACACTTTGGGAGGCCAAGGAGGGTGGATCACCTGAGGTCAGGAGTTTGAAACCAGCCTGGCCAACATGGTGAAACCCGATCTCTACTAAAAATACAAAAGATTAGCCAGGCATGGTGGTGCATACCTATAATCCCAGCTACTTGGAAGGCTGAGGCAGAAGAATTACTTGAACCTGGGAGGTGGAGGTTGCAGTAAGCTGAGATCGTACCATCTGCACTCCAGCCTGGGCAAAAAGGGTGAAACTCCA